AAAGTGGAGGAGGGACGAGCACCTCTCTCTCCTAAAACTACGGTCTAAAAATCAAAGCTAACCTCGCTCTAAGCCGTCAACACTGGAGTACTGGAAAATAGTGTTTTACCCCATGTAAAACAACTCTGGTTTATTGCCCCGACGGACCGAAATCGTAAGACACAGTACGTTGTTCATTTATTTGTCCGACCACCTTAGACGTCTCTCCTGCTCAGGATCCCATATTTGGGGATGGTCTCCAAGACCCCATGTCAATCCGCGACGTTCCTCCTCTTTCTTCTTAATCTCCTTAACGTTGCCAATCACCAAGTCGCCGGTCAATTCCTCCAAAATGGCGCCGATAATTATTCCTATGATTGCCCGGCTATTAATCCTCAGCAGAGCGTCCCACCAGGACCTTTGGCTTGGCCTTAAGTTACTCTCTAAAGTCGCTACTTAATCCCTTAATATCGATTATTATTAAAATCCAATGTGCATCTCTCTTTAGGAACTTTGCGCGCGCAGCTCATTACGCAGGGCCGCTTCTAATTGGCTGGCTAATTAGCGCGGGAGAAATTCCCGCCCACGAGGTATTCGGCGTGTTTCGACGAACGCTCGAGTCCTCTCTCCTCCCGATTTCCTTCCCTTCCGCCTTATTAATTACTCCCTCTCCGTGGGGAAAAAAGCCGTTTCTCCTCCCGCTTTAATCTAGGCTTGATCTATAGTGAAAAATAGGAACTTTGGTTGTCTCAATTCATCCCGCGAGGGATTAATCTCCGCGGGTCCTTGCCAGGGGATCCCTTAGGCTCCGTCCTCTCGCCAGGGTCGTCGATCCGTCGAAGGCATTCGTCCTCGATCTCGCCTCTCCATCGGGGTCCGACCAAGATGGCGGCGCAGCCCAGAAAGTCGTTCACCCTCTGGCCGATCGCTTGGCGACCCTCGATCGCGGCCTTCCGGCTCGGCAGGAACCCTTCGCGCACCACTCACCGCGTGACGTTTGAAAATCCCGCCAAATCCGCGCCGCGCCGTGCCTCGAGCCGGAACGGAACTTCCGGCGAGCCATCTCGAAGATGCGCCCTTCCGCCCTTAGAATTAACTGGCTCTTCCCGACGTTGCTCCAACTTTCCGAAGTGTCCTCCGTGGGACCAGTCCGCCTGGAGAACCGGTGAGCAGCTGATTGGCCGCGAGGTGGGGGGCCTCCGGCAGTCAGTCTCGCCCCGACCGTCGAGGGGAGCGGACCTCCTCTCCCGCAGTTCAGCAAGGCCCAGGGATCAACCCTTTCCGGTGGCGGTCTAGGTCTCGTCTTGCCGAGATTCCTGCCTCCGGGGATGGTCCCCTTTCCCGGGTGGTCCTCGAGGTCCAGGATCCCGTGGGTCCCACGGGTCGCCGTCGCCGATCAGGCCCACGCGTCGGGGCCCGACAGCAGGAGTGGGGGGTTCGCGGCGTTCAGTCCGTCCCCGACCGTCGCGGTGGATGGACCTCTCTTTCCGGGCCCCGGTCTCGGCGTAGCGGGGTCCTTCCTCTCCCCTCCACCCTGGGCCCGATCAGCCTCACTTAGCCCCACAACGCCCCCGTTAGAGCTCTACCTCGCGCGCCAAGTACATTTTTCCCTTACATGAGCGCGACCGGGCGAACCGCGCGACTGGTGATGCAGTCCGCGGTCGGGGCATAAGGAAGCGGAAGCCGCCGCTCTCCGCGCTGCCAAGGAAAGGCGCACGCTTCGCCGCGTCTTTTGCTTCCTTTTTCTCCTACGCCGCCAGGAGAGCGAGAGGGAGAGAGAGAGAAAGCGGAAGAGAGAGAGGGAGAGAGAGAAAGAGCGCGCGGGAAGGAGGCGGCCAAGAGGGTGGCCAGGGCGGGCGGGAAAAAGAAACCGAGATATAAAACCCGGCCCGGAGCGAGAGGGAGAGAGAGACGCCGACCCACCCCCTCCCCACGGGGAGGGGGGGGGGGGGGGGGGGGGGGGGCGGGAAAAGCGAGGAAAAAGGAGACCCGCCGCGCAGCCCGCGAAGAAACAGATAAATATAGATATTTTCCTTGGAGCGCGCGAGCGCGCGCGCGCGCCCTCGCCCTCGCGTGGCTCGCCCCCGAATTGGAAAAATGGAAATAATAAGACTTCGTCGCGGGGTGCCGGGGGCCGCGGGGAGGTGGCGCGGGTGGGGGTGGCGCTGCGCAGTGCACGCTGCGCGCGGCCCCCAGACCGCCGGGGGTGGGCGAGGGGCACACATCGATTCCACCCTGTGTGGGTGGGTGGCCCGCACACGCGCCGGCCCGCCCGCCGTGCACTTGGCGCGCGGGTCTTCGCCGGGGGTGCCACCGAGTCGGGGGCACGCCGTCTAGGGATGGCGATCCGACGTCTAGGGATGGCGCTGCCACGTCTAGGGTGCCCTCCGACGAGGAAGGCCACGCGACGGACGCTTCGACTCCGCATTGTGGTGGTCATAGCATATATNTATTTTTTATACTGTATTGCTTGAATACATTGAGTTTGTTGTTGAGTTCCAATGTATTGAGTTTAAGGGAGTTCATACTTATTGATGGTATTAAACAATTATTCCACGAGACACGAATTTTTGTAAATTTTCGTTCTGAGTATTTGTAGGGAGTGTCACCGTGGTGGAGCACAGAGATAATGGGAAAGCAATTTGTTGGGATTATAAATTATGAACAATTCGTTTGTATCGACAATGCGTACGCTCATACAGGGATGTTTAAACTATTATTCCACAACATATGAAATTTTGTAAATTTTCATTCTAAGTGTTAGTGGTACCCGTAAGTAATCAATTTTTTTTACGTCTAAAATACCTCTCAAAATAATTTATTACTTATGTAATAAATTACATATACGTACGCTCGTGCAGGATTCTTTAAACAATTATTCCACGAATACGAATTTTTGTAAATTTTCGTTCTGAGTATTTGTAGGGAGTGTCACCGTGGTGGGGCACAGCGAGAATGGGATAACAATTTGTTGGGATTATAAATTGCAAACAATTGATTTGTATCGACAATGCCTACGCTCATACAGGGTTGTTTAAACTATTATTCCACGAGATACGAATTTTTGTTAATTTTCGTTCTGAGTATTTGTAGCGAGTGTCACCGTGGTGGAGCACAGAGGTAATGGGAAAACAATTTGTTGGGATTATAAATTGCAAACAATCCGTTTGTATCTCGTATATCCGTTTGTATCTCCCATAAGTAATCAATTTTTATTTACGTCTAAAATACCTCTTTCAAAACAATTTATTACTTATGTAATAAATTACCTATACCTACGCTCGTGCAGGATTCTTTAAACAATTATTCCACGAGATACGAATTTTTGTAAATTTTCATTCCGAGTATTTGTAGGGAGTGTCACCGTGGTGGAGCACAGAGGTAATGGGAAAGCAATTTGTTGGGATTATAACTTGCAAACAATCCGTTTGTATCTCGTACAGTACCGGACCCTTGGTTACCCCCTTTACGATTACGGAAAAAACGTCATCTTTTCCCCTTTCCTCGAAAGTCCTCGACAATTCGAGGTCTAATTAGCAGTTGGGAGTCTCTCGGCACTGATTGGCCGATTCTAGCCGGCAGGAATCGTGAGAACCATCCCCCCCGAACAATTGTTTATTGCTTTGCTTCTTTTTTCCTTCCACCGAGCAACCCCTTCGCTCCGGTAGGGGCGGCTTTTCGAAGGGCCTAACAAAGCTCAGAGGAGGAGACGTTAATTATTATTACAGGTAACGCTCGATGGGGTGACTCTTGATGAACTTGCGAGAGCCTTGGCGGGATAGAATAACCTTATAATTGACTCAACCATTAAAAACGCATTAATATTCACCTAAAACCAATACCCAAAACTATATTCTTTCTCATCCTGCACATAATATAAAATATTACGTCCTAACATTTTTTTTATTACATTTCACCCTTGTGAAAGCTTGTAAGAAAAATTTCAAAATTCAGAAAATCCTAAGTGAGGGGAGTTTATCAGAAGGAACGAATAATGGTTAGACAAGGAGGACCTTCAAAGTTAGAAGGGTTAAATACATTTTATTAAGGTGATATGAAAGGGTCGTTCTATATATCAAAACGTGAAAATATTTATGAAACTTTTTTTAGAACTTAGTGCGCAGAAACATTTGAAACCTCTGCATATGATTATGAACGCCTTAAAGAAGAATGAGATGCTCATTTTTGAAAAAAATTGTTTATTTATTTAACATGCCATAACATGCAATATAGAACCAAGATATTTTTCGTGAAAAATGAAATGTCTATGTATCAAAATGTGAAAATATTTATGAAACTTTTTTTAGAACTTAGTGCGCAGAAACATTTGAAACCTCTGCATATGATTATGAACGCCTTAAAGAAGAATGAGATGCTCATTTTTGAAAAAAATTGTTTATTTATTTAACATGCCATAACATGCAATATAGAACCAAGATATTTTTCGTGAAAAATGAAATGTCTATGTATCAAAATGTGAAAATATTTATGAAACTTTTCATAAAACTAAGTGCGCAGAAATATTTGAAACCACGGCATATGATTATGACGGCCTTAAAAAAGACCGCGATGCATGTGGAATTTCATTTTTCAAAAAAATTGTTTATTGACGTTTCATATAAATTTTGAAAAAGTAGGGGTTTTTTGGAAAACAAAGTATTGCCAGAAACCGATAGACCGATAGAAATTGAAAATTCCCTATCATGTTAGGGTCCAATCAACACGATTTTCATTTTCGGATGTTGCGATTTTCTGCCAAATACTGACATTTTGAAAAAGTAGGGGTTTTTTGGCAAACAAAGTATTGTCAGAAAACGATAGACCGATAGAAATTGAAAATTCCCTATCATGTTAGGGTCCAATCAACACGATTTTCATTTTCATGTGCTGCGATTTCCTGCCGAGCAGATTATTTACACAAAAACAGTCGTCGATTTCCGAAATCCTGGAACAGTCTTGGCAGGTATAGGTTGAAAATTTTCAAAAAGAGGTGGGGAAAAAAAATATAAAAAATGACTTACCTCACTGGACAGTCCGTTGTTCCACGGATAGGGGGGCTGGGGTGGGGACTGCTGCTGGTGGTGGACCCCACCGACACCTGCAGCGGAGTGGGGGTTGTGGATGTGCTCCGCCATAACACTGACCCAGTGGGCCAGTCCTCCACCCCCGGCCGCACCTGTCCC